ATTAGATACAAAAACCCCAAACCAAATAGTGATACTGCAATTAAGTGATTAATTTGATACTCGTATATTTAATTCAATTAAACAGTTCTGCCTAATATACTTCCTAACGCTGGATCTTCTTTCTCGTGTTTCTTTGTTTCAGGCATCTGTCTCTCCTCACTCCAGACAAAAGCAGCACATGGAAACTTCATATCAGTCCTGTGGCCTCTGCATGGGCGATGTTGTCGTCATTGATAATTGCCTCCTCCAGATTGTCAACTTGCATGAATTAGCAACTGGGCCAGACGAGCACGGTGAGACTCAAGGAAACTGATTTGTGTTTTTTTTTTGGAGAGCTGTAAAGTCGGCGTTCGCTGTGATTGCTCATCATCGTCGGTGGATCCTTCTGAGAAAGAAGGGAGATATAATGGCTCTTGCGGAAAAAACAGTCGCTGGCCTCGGGAAAGGGATTTGGGTGTCTGGAGACAAGCAGGACCATATGGAGCGGGCTAAGATAGCAAGGCACACGTTCAGAATAATGGATGATGTGTCATGTTTCATGTTGCTAAGAAGCCATCAAGAGACCTGGTTGGGGAAATCAAAAGACGTACGTACAGTAAAAGCGACTGTTGCGGCGTTTAAAGATTTCGCTGGTTCCATCAGCCCACGTTTGCTCTCTGTTGGCTGAACCCGTTAATGGGATGAGGATTTTTAAGAAATGACATTTTTGTCATTGTTCTGTGAAAATGGGGCAAAAATATTCGACACACTTTTTTTCTTTTTGACAATAAAGCAGGCCCAGCTGTTGAATAGTGTAGTATTTCCTAAAGTCTTTAAGGAATAGCTCACCTCCAAATTAAAATTCATCACACAATTAAGCAGCAGAAACTGCTTCTTGAGTAGCAAATCAGTATATTAGAATGATTTCTGAAGGATCATGTGACACTGAAGACTGGAGTAATGATGCTGAAAATTCAGCTTTGATCACAGGAATCAATTACGTTTTAAAATATATTCAAATAGAAAAACAGTTCTTTTAGATTATAATAATATTTCACAAAACTACAAATTTTTTGTCTATTTTTTATCAAATAAATGCAGCCTTGGTGAGCAGAAGAGACTATCAAAAACATTAAAAATGATTGTTTATTATTATTTATTTATTATAAATTATTCCACACTTTTCACGGTGGGGCCTAAAACCTGACTGAAATTCTTCATAGAGATCTTTTTTTTTTCTTCCTCTTGCCTTTTTCTTTGCTCCACAGAAAAACAACATCATATAGGTTTGAAATGACCCAAGAGTATGGAAGCCGGTTTCCGCCATGAAATAAAAATGAAATTAAAATACGTAACTGCGACTTTTTATTTCATAATTCAGACTTTGTTTTTCATAATTCTGAGAGAGAAAAAAGTCAGAATTGCAAAATACAAACTCAGAATTCTGACTTTTTTTTCTCAGGTTTACATTCCAAGTTTACATCTCACAATTCTGTTGAATTATTTGTGCCATTAAATAAAAAATAAACAATTTAAAAAGCTAATTGCAAATTTTTATCTAAAAAAGTCAGTATTGTGAGATATAAACTTAGAATTCCAAGAAAAAGTTAGAATTGGGAGATATAAACTAAGAATTGCAAGAAAAAAATTTTAATTGTAAGTTAAAAAGATGCAATTACCTTTATATATATATATTTTTCATGGCAGATTCCATCTTGAGTCATTTCAAACATATATGCTTTTTTCCCCCTGTGGAGCAAAGAAAATGGCAGGAGGAAGAGAGCAGTAATAAATAAATAATTAATAATAATTTTATTCCATTGCAGAAACAGGCTTCTGTTACCAGAGTGAGTAAATATTGATATAATTAACATTTTTGGATGCACTATACCTTTAAAGGGGTCATATGACGTTGCTAAAAAGAACATTACTTAACCACTGATTTCTTGTCGTGTCCTCTTTTGGAAGGCCAGACAAAGTAGTTTCGCTTTCACAACGAGAAACACAGCGTCACACACGGTGGGCTTCAGTGAGCGGCGGCGGGCGGGCTTGCGGCAACCACATGTGACGAGCCCGGGCCGGACTCCGCTTCGTCCACGGTGAAAGCCGATCCGGCGATCCACAGCGCGAAGTTGATGTATTTCCTCAGCGACCAGCACGGATCAGCTCTAGGCATGACGAAGCGGATATCGTCCTCTTTTGGAAGGCCAAACAAAGTAGTTTTGCTTTCACAACGAAACACACAGCGCTTTCACGACATGGCAGCGGCAGCAACAACAATACTACAACGAGAATCAAAGTTACGCCTTCTTTCTTTTTGTGTGAACATTTGAGCAGCGTTATGCAAATCTTCCCACATCGTGACGTAGACATGTGGGGGCGTGTTAGAACGAGCCGTTTTCTTAACTTTTATAAAGAATATCTCTTTGGATTTGAGACTTTAGTCTTTGCAACTTTACAGATCTTCTTTATGCACCAAGAGCTTTTAACACTTCAAAGAGAAAGGAAAAATTGAAATCGCATCATATGACCCCTTTAAATAACATCTTTAAACGTTCTCTTAACACCTCACCATTCTGATTGGCTGACAAAAAGAACACTGCTCAGGAAATGTCATCTTATAAACAAAAAGCGTAATGGCTCTTCCCCAGATGTTCATTAGCATATTCGAAACCAAACCGCTGAGGGAGATACAGGACCGAGGTCACGACCCCGTGAAAATATACATCTAACGCCGGCCTGTCTGAGCCCCTCTTCCCTTCTATCATCGAGCCATAAATATTACAAAGCCTAAACATCACAATCTCAAAACACAGCACAGAATTGATAGATGGAGGGTGAATGATAGATGGAAGACAGCTTTGTTTTGCACCTTTCTACACTGTGGATCAGGAGCACGGGGCGGCGGGCAATTTTTCTTTTTGCCAGGGGAGTTTTTCGCTTTTTCTTTCTTTTTCTTTTTGCAAAAGCACATCCACTAAGTGTGATTCCCCCACCTCCTCTCGCTCTCTTTTTCTGCCTCCTGCGCTCTACCTGCATGTGAAATGCGTCTGCATACCCCTAACCTCGCTTTTTCCTCCTGTTTCAGAGCCACCCTTAAGTGCTGTTGCCGATACCCATGAGTAAGCCCCATAAAAGCCACACCATCGCCACGGCCGTTATTGTTTCTTGCGGATGATTGATTGATGGATGAGGGCTGACACTTCAATGAAGCCATTTCCACTGGCATCTCTATCCGATGATGTGCAGCGTATATATTTCTATCCACGCCTCATTGCTCGCCTGTGTCATTCCTGGAAGTTCATTTACACCATGTTCCCTGAAGGACCTTTTTTTTTTGCCCATCTCCCTTTTTCTCTCTCCTTTTTTCTACTGTTTTTCTCCTCCTGGTGTCATAAAATAATGCTATTTCACGTAGGCTCTGTGGGAGCTGGGATAATTTGCGCAGAGTGACAAAACAAAAGGCATAGAGAGGTTACTCAACGGAGGAACATGCCTGTATTAAATGTATGTATGATTACATTTAAATCTGCTTAAATATAGTATTGTCATTCCTGCTGTGCAGGGCCTTTTTAGTTTCATTTTTAGCATTTGAGAAATATTAAACAATTTTTAAAGAGAGAGTGCATTTTTTCCCTCACAATATCACAATTAAGTAAATATGAGGATTCATTTTAAATAATTTGACTACTATTATTGTAGATGTTGCTATATTTGTCATGTTTATTTTTAAAATGTGAAAACTGAGAGTTTATTAAGAAATACTGTTGTAATTGGAAATCAAGTGTGTTTCATGTTTTTCACACATTTTATCCCATTATGTTTGTGTAATGTCCCTTTAAAAAACAAAAGCTTGTTCATTAATGATGTCATCCTCCAGGAAGTGGAATCATTTTGGAGGGAAAACAACCGCAGAAACAATAGTAAGTTTAAGCAATGGATTTGATTCATTCTGTGATGCATTGTGGTTTCTTTTTATTTATGTAGTTTGAAAATGTCCCATCCTCAGCAGAACTTTTTATGATATAGTTAATACATTTCAAAATATATTTTAAAACTTGAAGTTGATATATCCATGTAAGCTTTAGGTGTTCATTTCTATACTGTTAGATTCCATCCAGTTTATTTTCTTGCAAATGTGTAAATAAAGTTCAGTTAGAATATATTTCATAGGTCTCACTTTGTTAGAAATACTTACTTAAATTACAACGCAAGCTTATTCATTTTTTTTTTTTTAAGTGTACTGCATAACAGGAATGTCCCAGCAACTCTGTTAGCATTTAAGTTAATTACCCACTTTGTTAGTCAACCAGCTACTAATGGTGTGGCTTCCTGTTTTTGTTTCCAGGATATCGTAGCAATAACAAAGATTTTTCAGTTGGTGAGTTGAAGAAGAGAAAAAGATGGCTTTTCAAAGACAATTCCTCATTTTTATCTCATATGGAGAGCAGATGGCAGGCCTGCATCAGTGCAGGAGGCTTTCTGGGATGACAGCCATGAGATTCCCCCTCAGGTGCCATTGGAGCCCTCATGTGCCGGGAGTGTGATGGTTGGGACATGGCACCTCCTCGTGAAAGAATGGCTCTCTGTTCGCCTCCCTTTCTCACTTTGTAATGGTGCTTGCTAGCAACCTAATATTTCAAGTGTATGTGTGCACACACAGAGGCTCAAACAGTATGGACTCTCTTCTCTCCTTCTCTAACAGCCTACTTCTTTGTGTGTGAGTATGAAAACACATCCTTGGATTTGAGTTGAAGATCTAATCTTCTTATTAGGAGTATTCTGGTTAATTTAATGCACATTAATTAGTTTAATGGACAGCTAATTGTCTATGAATAGTATTTGTGACGGTAAAGTTCAACTATGGTAATGGACTTCAAATTGGTCATATTAGAGGTTTAAAAAGCATAAATGCAAAGCTTGTGATTTTATTCAAAGTCTACTATTTTAGCTAGCTATGCTAAAAGTCAAAAGACAAAATTTTATGTTTTTATGCACTGACATGCTAAATGTATGTGATGGTCGGATATTTTATTTAAATTAGACATACTTTACAATTGCATGCTAGGGCTTCATTGAAGATATACAAAGGTTAACATGTTTTCTGTCCTTTCTCAGAAACCGAGGTCTGTGGTAACTGAGAACAACAACAACAGCAAATCAGCATATAACCAGGTAAGTAATATGTCCACATTGAAAGCAAGAATACTGTGCAAAGCAATACAATCATATTTTGTGTTTTACATTTACCTGTAGATCTATGTGGGGCAGGATCTTGGACCAATGAGGATTCACTATGGGCGGAGCTACCCAGTGTGACATCATGGAAACAGAAGCCAAACGCCTGGAAGGTTAGGACAAAACTCCAACACTTTCAGAAAACTGTGCAAGTATTGTACTTTTAGGGGTGCAACAGCTTGTCACTGGGGCAGGGACATCTTTGCACCTTATTTACTCCTAAAAGGTTCATAGTAGTACCTTTAGGTGACATTGTATTACTACTCTAAAGTGCATTTTAGGGATAGGTAAGGTACAAAGTTGTGCTTTTAAGGGTACGGAGCCAGTGACAAGCTGTCGTACCCCTAAGGGTACCATTTTCAAAACAATGACAGTGAATATGCTGTTTCTTGCATGTGTGTTGTGTGATAGCCATGCTTGTGCATGATAATATAATCAGAAACAAATGCGTTAAACATATAGGGTTCCCACATGGACCATTTTCTCTGTCTTTTACAGTGTTCGTGTCACAGGCCATTTCACTATGACAGGGAGTATCTTACAGAGAAAATGCAGCATGTTTGAAAATATTCGAGACCTCATCACAATATCAGAGAGAACATGTGGATACTCCGCCAAAAGCCTCCTGCATTTTTGATGACTCGACCTTCTGTCCTCTTCCAGAGATGAAGTGTCTCATAAGGAGAGGTGAGTATTCGGACCCGCTGTATTTATACAGGCCTTCCCGATGAGAGAATGTATTGAGGCAGGAGAGGCGATTGGACTGGCGTATATTTCCCCTGCGTCTCCCTTCAGCATGTCATTCTTTATCAGTAATCACCTTAGAGGGCAGCGTGGCACTCGTTTGCGAGATGCTGACCTCCCTTGCACTGAGAGGCAGTGGACAGTGGGCCCATCCATAACGCTGCGATGCATTACCGGCGGTAATATGAAGTGTAGTCGCCCCTTTCAGGCACTAGCGTTCAAGTGCAAGGCCTGGGGAAAACACCTCTTGGGACCCATCAAAACTCAGACTGGTTCTATGTGTCACTGGTATTAATTAACCCCCAGAAACTGTGAAAAATGAAAGACGCTTGGCTATGTAGATGTGAACTGTGTATGCCTACCGTGCTGAGAAGACCAGGGCTATGCAACTCTGCTTCTCGAGGGCCACTATCCTGCAGTATTTAGTTCCAACTCTTATCGAACATGACTGACTATTCAAGGGTTGGAGCAAAATGCTCCAGGACAATGGCCTTCCAGGACCGGTGAAATAGTCATGGTTTAAACAAACATGACTTTCAATGCAGGTCCAAGCATTTGCATGCTAAGTCCAGGTTCAGCTGGTCAACCAGCATCTCCAAGCTGTTCATCAGCAAAATGCTGTCTTTACTACCTTTCTGGGCCTTGAACATGTCAGTTGTATTGCTTTCTATGCAGGGTCAGAAAGCTCTCGGATTTCATCAGAAATATCTTGATTTGTGTTTTCCGAAGACGAACGAAGGTCTTACGGGTTTAGAGCGGCATGAGGGTGAGTAATTAATGATAGAATTTTCATTTTTGGGTGAACTATCCCTTTAAGAAGCCTTTTGAGGACTCCAGTTTCCAAAATGTGTTCTGGACCCCACACCAAGCCGACTTCAAAGAACTAGCGGCGACGAAAGCTGAAGGTGTTGTTGCCTTGCATCGGCTGCGTCTGGACCAAAAAGCTGTGCTTGAACACACTGCATAGACTACAGCCGACTGCAAACTAGTGTTGTCAAAAGTACCGACTTCAGTACCCAGTCAGTTCTGAAATGTAAAAAATGTCTGTGTGAGCGCTCGGTGAAGAGCGTGAAGTGATCACTGTAGCCAATCACAGTCATATCTTTTGAGCATGTGAACGCATTGGCCAATCAGCAATTTTTAAGAATCAGCTCAACATCGCTCAAATGTTAGCGGGAAATATATGTTTTTAAAATTTCAGTATCGACTGGTACTGAAGTCGGTACTTTTGACAACACTACTGCAAACTAGCATGTGCGTTCTGCATCTGCGTGTAAAGAGTTAACTCTCTACTGTATATCAGCAGGTATCAATAGTCTATTCAATCAATAATCAAGTCAATGACTATTGGTATCAATAGTCTAGTCAATTCATCATTCAAATGGAGAAACCAAAACAAGGATATATGCTGATATGCGAAATGGAAACAAAGCAGCGCCTGCTTACCATTTTGAGCCTGACGACAGCAAACGTGTAGAACACAACAAAAACAGCAACAAAAAAACTAGCCCAACAGATGCTCACCGACGGCTTGACGTTTGCTTGCTGTGTCCCGGCCTTTAGTCAGAAGACGGCAAATTTAATTTTATGCAAATGAAACAGTGAAGAATAGATGCACAGTTCATTCAATAGGTTGTACTGTCCAAGGGTACATCTAATCTTCACAATCCATGTTTCCTAGACCAGTGGTTCCCAGCCATGTTCCTGACCCCCCCAAGCTTGTCTCCTTTTTCTGACACACCCACTTCAGGTCTTGGAGATTCTACTAATGAGCTGGTGATCTAAGTCAAGTGTGTTTAATTAAGGAGACATGCAAAATGTGCAATGTTGGCAGGGCCTCCAGGAACATGGTTGGGAACCACTGTTCTAGAAATATTTTCAATGTTTGGTTGGCTATTAACAATGGACACCAAGGTATACAACAGTACAACTTAATGACCAGACTGTACATCAATGTGGCATTCTCCCGACTAAAGTCCATGCTGGTCTATTCAGTAAGCTTTCATTCTTTGCAAATGGTTTATGGTCAGCAGTGACCTGAACCTGAAGTTTACTCAAACTCATGGTCCAAGCTGTGCTTCTGGACACATCTCATCTGCCCAAGTGCATGTACGTCTCAATCTTAAAGGCGATTCAGCCACATCCATCTGGCAAAGCAATACACTTTATCCGCTAATGTGTGCTGACACTGAATACTACACCCACCGAAATGAGGAGCCGCAAATTGGGTTATTCATCTTCACCTGGCGGTAATCTAGTTGATAAGCACTAGGCACGTAGATCTCGGGGGGAAGAGGCAATGTGATTACTGAGAGCAGAGCCCATGATGCCTGAGTTGCAGTAAAAGGGCCTCTGGTGCTCCGAGGGATGGGCCTCTAACAAACACATTTGAAGAATACAAAGAAAACACTCATTCTTGCTTCTTGGCCATGTAGTGCCTTTTAGCGCTAGTAACAGTTTGCATGAGAGGATGGAAAAGGAGAATAAATGAGCTTGTTTAACTGACTAAAGGGAGAAAGGTGATTTGAGAGGTGCTCTGTGGTGTTCGAGAAAGATATCATCTATTTCTGTCTCAGAGAGACTTGGTCTTTTTCTTGGTTTATATCCTCTTGCCGTACTTCAATTGTTTTTCCCAGAGAATAGCGTGCATTCACCTGTGAAATCGGGCCAGCGTGCAGAGCAGTCTGACTGTTGTAAATAAAGAACAAAGGCTAAGGCGATTCAGCCACATCCATCTGGCAAAGCAATACACTTTATCCGCTAATGTGTGCTGACACTGAATACTACACCCACCGAAATGAGGAGCCGCAAATTGGGTTATTCATCTTCACCTGGCGGTAATCTAGTTGATAAGCACTAGGCACGTAGATCTCGGGGGGAAGAGGCAATGTGATTACTGAGAGCAGAGCCCATGATGCCTGAGTTGCAGTAAAAGGGCCTCTGGTGCTCCGAGGGATGGGCCTCTAACAAACACATTTGAAGAATACAAAGAAAACACTCATTCTTGCTTCTTGGCCATGTAGTGCCTTTTAGCGCTAGTAACAGTTTGCATGAGAGGATGGAAAAGGAGAATAAATGAGCTTGTTTAACTGACTAAAGGGAGAAAGGTGATTTGAGAGGTGCTCTGTGGTGTTCGAGAAAGATATCATCTATTTCTGTCTCAGAGAGACTTGGTCTTTTTCTTGGTTTATATCCTCTTGCCGTACCTCAATTGTTTTTCCCAGAGAATAGTGTGCATTCACCTGTGAAATCGGGCTAGCGTGCAGAGCAGTCTGACTGTTGTAAATAAAGAACAAAGGCTAAAGAGATTCAGCTGTCCATCAGCCGGGGCAGGATACAACATTATCTCATGGCAGACTGGCTGGAAGTTAGAGGGATACTCTTTGCCTAGTCGTAGAAAATGCATGTATCTAGCAAGCGATTTGTAGAGATCCAACTTTGCAATGTTCCATGCAAAAAGGTTCAAATGCAAAGCAAAAAATATTTATCGAAATGCTATTAGAGGCCTCAACTGGAGCGCTGAGCTTTAGAAATGTTTAGGTTGCATTAACTCATCAGTATCTTGAATTATACTAGCAATGTAAACACAGGACTCTTTAGCTGAGTCCACCTTCTGCAGGTTGTGAAAAGAGCTGGGGCCTTTGTTGCTCGCTCCAGTCGGTGAATTATTTTCATCCCTTCAGGAGTCCGTCTGACCAAGACGTAGCATCATCTCATGACTTATGCATGTCATAGACCCCCTTACTTTCCCCTCCTAATGGCCAGATAGCTTCGGCGGCTGCAAGTTGTTGTTGTATTTGCAGACGTGATGCATAGATCCCCGGTGGCCGTGTAAAAACCAGCCAGGCCAGGTGCAACACTAATATCCCAGCCGTATCCAAACATTTCCTTTCAAAGTAACCAGCACACAGGGGCCCATAAATTAGAGCCAAGATGTCGGGCTTCCAATAAGACCCTACCCTGAGCAATAAACTTTGACATTGGTGTGTGAAAAACGGTGGCCCTTTTTCATTGTCAAGTGTTACAAATTGATGAAATGAGTTCATCGATGTTCCCCGGTCATTATCCCTCTAGTGGCACTTTGTTTTACCGACAGCGGGGAAAGGGACGGAGCAGATTAGAGGCCCCCTGACACAGTTTATCAAACCAAATCTAATATCATCCATAAGAAGAGAATCTGGAAATCAATACTTCATTACTAAATTGTTACTGGGGATGAAGAGTGATTGCGAGGGTTCAGAGATGTGTCTCGGCGGCCGGGGCATGGGAAGGGGGGGTTGGGGGCGGGGTTGTTGGTCAGAACAGATAATAGAAACTGAGTTTGCCTTTGATTGGGCCTTTGCGTTATAGCTGGAAAGAGAGAGAGAGGTGGGGAAAAGGAAAGGGAATCTCTCTTTCTTGACTTGTCTACTGGGTGCGCACGACATTATGGCGGACTTATTGGGTCGTTGGCAAGCAAACTCTCATTATGAAGGCATCGATTTACACAATAATGAATTCTTTACTTAATACCGATCTTTGTGTAAAATCGGTGTGTTGAATGTAGGAGAGTGTGAGCGGTGTTGTTGCTAGTCTTCCATAGTCAGGCTTTTCACTATTGGTGAGGAAGTCTACATTACCAAGAACAATCAAGAACTGCCTTTTTATGCAACGTTTATGGCAGGCAATTCTTTAATTGTCCAGCGACATTCAGTATGGTGGCTGTAGGAATGTAGTTTCAGTTTGTTTACTCCACATTACTCCATGCCATGCGCATTATCCTATTGCATTAAGCTTACTGAATATAGCAAGTTAACACGATTTGTGCTGAGAATAATATAAAAAAATGCTGCTTTTGTTAATTTTATTGCTGATTTTTAATATGTCGATAATACATTATTTTAGCATGATTTTGTACTAAGAAGCTATTGTTGCCAGGTTTTATTGCTGATTTGAAATGTTAAAATGTTAGTATTTGTAACAGGCTTTTTTACTTTATTTTAAGACGCTAAATGAATACTACATTTGTTGCCAAATTGTATTGCTGATTTGAAATTGCTGATTTGAAATTTCTGATTTGAATTTTAGCATTATTTGAGCTAAGAAGCTATAAGAATTCTACTTTTATTGGCAGATTTTATTGCTGATTTGAGCTAAGAAGCTAAATGAATGGTACTTTTGTTTACCATGTTTTTGCAGATTAAAATATATTAAAGATACAGTATTTTAGCATGATTTGAGCTAGGAAGCTAAGTGAATGGTACTTTTGTTTACCATATCTTTTTACGAATCTGAAATGTTAAAAATACATTATTTTGGCATGATTTGATCCGAGAAGCTAAATGAATGCTGCTTGCCAAATTTTTATTGGCAATTAAAATGCAGTATTTTAGCGTTTTAACAGGCTTTTTTGCTTTATTGTTAAGACTCTAAATGAATGCTACATTTGTTGCCAAATTGTATTGCTGATTTGAAATGTTAAAAATACAGTATTTTACAATTATTTGAGCTAAGCGGCTAACTAAATGCTACATTTGTTGTCAGGTTTGATTACAGATTTGAAATATGTTTAAAACAATATGTTGCAATATCATTCCTGTACAGTACAGCATGGTGCTAGCAATGTCAGCATAATGCTTTGATCCCTTGGGAATGCATAAACTGATAAAATGTACATAAAAAGTCACTTTGCATAATAGGGTTTGCAAAAAGCACAAATGTAAACATGTATTGTAGCATAAAACAGTATTGTAGCATGACTTGAGCTAAGAAACTAAACTAATGCAAATTTGTTGCCAGATTTTATTGCTGTTTTAAAGTGCAGCTACTAGTTTGTGCACTAAAGTTTTCATTGTAACAGCCTAAGAAACAAATTGGTTAAAAATGCACTCTGACAACCAGAATGGCATAGAAACGAACTAATCAGACTGGAGCTGGTGATTTCAGCTAGCTCTTGTCCTTGTTTTGTTTACTTCAGTCCATCAAACAGTGGACAACCAGATGCTTTCTACACAGTAATATGACTTGTTATATACGATCTCAAACTGCTCAAAGACACTAAGCCGTCCTCTGGCGCCTAAATAAATAAATTAAAGAGAAGGAATAAAAGATTTTAGAGCAAATTATTTTGACGAGGCGCGTTGCGCTGCATCGCTAACTCCACAGTATGTCTCTAATTGGAAGACCATTGTCTGAGCTGTCACGACTGAAGCCTCGCACGTTCGCTCACGTTAAGATCGCGCACGTTTCCAGAGCCCCTTTCCGCGCAGGTGACAAAGATAAACATTTTTTACGGCCGAGTTTGACATCGGCGGAGGGAGAAGACTTAGTCCAGTATCAGAGGCCTACGGCTAATGATTTTTGAGCAGCCCCCGACTGAGCCTTAAATGTCTTCAATATCCATAAACAACTCTATACTGTCCAATTAGGCAGACAGAGATGTACTGAGCTGTCAGACAGATTTGCATGGCTAAGCACCTGAGATCCCGCAGATGATGGTGGGGAGGGTTCGTCAGGCCGGGAGAGAAAGACGAGCACAACGGATGACTTTCATTACTGCATTTTGCCTTTTTCCCAACACCCAATTACTGCCAGGATTAATTGATTATGTTACCTTTCTTTCAAAGCCCAATGCAGAGGTTGCTGGCGCTTTCTTCCCCCGCTTTATGCACTTATTTCCTGAGTTCTGTTTTGCGTTTTGCACACATATAAAGCCCTGTTAC